TTTTCTGAGAAATTCTAAATTTTTACCAGTCTGGTAATACAGAACTGGCAACTGGTAGTAAGACTACGATTAAGAATTAGCTGGGTGAAAGTTTTGGTCCGCGATAAGAAGGATAATTACGATTTTTTGCTAACATTATGTCACAATTCTTGTAAAATTAGTTTTTTAAGGTTTATTATTATTCTTAAATTTGGATTTGTAAGTTTTGACGGGTTTTGATGAGATTCGTGAAATTTTTGTATTAATTGTTTTTCTTTTTATTTCTTGTTTCAAGTTTAGAAAATTGAATACGGTTCAATATGCCCCAAATCTCTGACCATTGCCGACCTATGTTTTTTACGATTCCCCTCTTCTCTTTTTCAACTTTCTTAAGTGAAAAGCAACTGCTCCATTTATTCCACATCGCTCTTGGTTTCTCTTTCTCTCCGAGAGCTTGGGAATTCGGGGAAGAAAAAGAAAACTGAAATAAAATGTGGAGGAAACCAACCCGCAAACCACCCGCAAAGCAAAACCGAGAAATTCTTGCGGTCTGTTCTCCTCTCGAGGAAGGAAATCCTTCAAATTTTGTGTTTCTTTGTTGGGCCGAGAAGGATCAAATCGAGATCACTTCGAGTTGATGCTTGTCCAGGAGCGAGGAGGAAAAGGTGAACGGAGGTTAGCGACGGATATGTTTAATCGATGATGCTGCGAAATGGAAAAGTTCTCGACTTTCTCTTTTCTTTCTCTGCAAGTGTAAATCTGGTCGGTTTCTTTTTCTACTTCTTGATTTTTATGGCATCAAATTGGTTGTGGTTTTTGAGGTGTTAATAAAATAAATTTCTGAGGAGGAAGGGATCATGTCATCATGTGAGGACTAAATCGTGGATAATTTTTGGTACACGAGTGGATATTGTGGACAAATTACGGAAGTAGTGTTTGTTTGATGGAAAATGTCTGAACAAAAATAAAGCAAAAATTTTTATATTTTACTTAAAAACTTTATATAAAACTTTATATTTTTTTAACACAATTTTGTAATTTAGTAATTTCTATTTCTCTGAATTCAAAATTCAGAAACAAATTTTGGAGGTGAATTGGTTCCGGAAATTATTCAGATTAGAGGAGGAAATTGAACCGGGATGCCCTGTAATAAAAGAATTTGAATTTTTTGCAGGGTTTTCAATTTTTATACAATTTCTATTTTTTCGGATCCACCGGAACTCAATTTTTTTCAGGAAATTATGCACCTCCATGACGGAATGCAATTGGAATAATTTTACAATTTACAAGGGAGAGAGAGATCTTGTTTCGGATTTATTTATTTTTACAAAAGGAGCAGATAGGAAATTGTGCAGAATTGAGGAGCGTCTGTTGCTACTTTTGCTAAAATATCCCTATGGACTTGAAGGGATCCCATTTAGATCCAAATCCAGTTTTGGGGGCAGACAGGGTTCTCCGCGAGAAATGCAGTTCACAGAAATTGGAAATTCAATTATTTATAAATAAATTTAAAAAAATAAAACTAAGGCGAGAGGCGCTATTAAAAACAAGAAACAAGCCCTCCCACCAACACCCCCGTCTCGCCGTGGCCCCATTAATATTTTTATATCTGGGGGTGTAACCACAATTTTATTCAATACAATTTTATGATGCAGGGAATAATTCTTCCCTGCATCATACACAGCAATTTAAAAAACAACTTACAGTAGGGCATATTTGGCAAAATAGGTGACGGGATAGCGTCATAAAATGGTCAGACAGATGTCGGAAATCAAACTACGAAAGCTTATTTATTTAACTCGTTTACCTGAGCAGCAAGCTCAATTCTGAAATGTATGAATGCAGATTTGGAATGTCTTTAACCGCATGACTACCTACGTTAAAATAGTTGGTTTTAAGAAGTAAATATTTTATTTTTGTACGATGGTTGATGAATAGAGTCAGGGTATGTATATATTCCAAACTTTGTCAACAACACCGATTGATTTGAAACTTTATGATCTTGATTCTAGATTTGTTTTAAACAAACAAAAAATTGTTTTTGTACATATTTTGTCGATTTGGTTAAACATTTTATATAAATGTTTTGGGGTCTTTATGAATATATTTATCCGTACTCTGTTGATTAATGCTAAACTAAATACATATTTAAATTGAAATTAATGCAAGAACTGCAGATAATAGGTTTTATAAGTGCAATGCAATATAAAATTGTAATAATTATCAATTCAAATGCAGTTTACATTAGTAGTTAAAAGCTTAAATCATAAATTGCGGTTACACCCCCAGATATAAAAATATTAATGGGGCCACGGCGAGACGGGGGTGTTGGTGGGAGGGCTTGTTTCTTGTTTTTAATAGCGCCTCTCGCCTTAGTTTTATTTTTTTAAATTTATTTATTTTGGGGTTTTTAAGTGAACAATTTTGTAACTCCGTCATTAAAAACCTACAATGCAGGCAGACTTGATATAGCCCGAGTCAGAAAAAGGTTGGGATTATCACCCAATCCGAATTTTTTTACGAAATTCTATATAGGGTCCCTTCAGTTCAAAATCTTCTCATTTCAATTCATATTCGTCCAAATGAAACCATTATCACCCTCCGTACCAAATTTCAGCTCGCTTGGATGATTTTGAAAATCGGTATGAGTCACCCCACATACCACCCCTTCCGTTGAAAAATTTTACAATTTCATTTCATACTCTTTCACTAGAACCCATTATCAAGCTCCATGTCAATTTCGGCTTTCTAGCGCATTTTTAAAATTTTGATGTCTATTATGCACGCCACCCACTTATATGGCCCCCACCAGTCCAAATCTTGTTTGGTCCCATCTTCAGAGTTCAGACTCGGTCGTTGCATTGCCCAAACACATGTTTGTACCAATTTTTAGTCAAAATCTGCCAGCGCTTGAGAGAATTGTCGAAGGACAGAATGACGTGACGATTATATAAGCTCTGGTTCGGGCCACCATTTACACATACATATAAAGAATTTCTCTACTAAAGTTGCTATGGATGTTAACTGAATTTTAAAAATTTCAAACCTCCATAACTTCGTCATTTTGCATCCGATTTTCATGACCCTAAAGAATGATCTTAATAATTTTTTAAGCCCTTTCGATTCCCCTTTGCCGATTTTTCACTTTCAGCGGAATATTTTGAAATACAGAAAAAAAAGTCACTAAAATGAGAAATGCACCATGAAGATGTTAACCGATTCAGCCCAGAGATCTATAAACAATACTACAAAGAATTTACTACCCATTGGTCGAAACCGCATGTCTCTACGACGTATGATTCTCTCACAATTTTGTCTGACTGTTTTGAGGTGGGCACTTAACTGCATACTATGGCTTCGCCGTAACCATGCACGTATTTTTTTTGGGTGCATGGTTACGGTTGGTGTCTCGCCTTAGAATAAAAAAAAAACTATAACTACAACAGTTTAGTTTCGAAGTACACGGTGCGGGTGTGAGTAGCTCCTTTTTGGTAAAATTTACTTTACTGTTGGGCCAATTATTTAGTCATAATTTACGCTGTAATTTAACGCATAAACTTCATAACGTTGTCCTCATTTTGAGACATTGAGATATTTCTATAGAAATTTTCGCACGATTTGCAAGTCACACTGACAACCGGAAATGTTCAGTTCGCCGATAATAATGTTTGTAATTTGAATTTAGCGAATCCTATTTTAAACATAATTCCCAATTTGGAAGCCGACATCCGGAACACTGCGATCTCATCGAGCCGTCCATCCATCTGTGCGAATCATAAGCCGACGACCCAGCAACAGCGAGTTGGCTGTACGAATGTAGGGAAATGACCTAATTGTTAAGGATTTGTGTGCTTTTACTGCTCAATTCTCCTGAGATTTTACAACGGATTATTTTCTCCAGATGGAAAATGAGAGATAAACAGAGAAAGCTGGAAAGCTCACTCCAGATTCTCTCACAAATGAGATACGCTAAGAATTTTGCAATAGAAAATTAAACTGAAAGACTTTAACTGGTTTTCGAAATGATAGTTTAATTAAATTTTCGTTAAAAAAAGTTTACAATTTTATTTAGTTTTCGAAATGAGGGTGAATTTGGATCATAAAAAGTTTACAATTTTACATTTATATTCTTCCAAATTGAGGAAATTGAAGAGTTCTGGTATGTTTTTCGAGAGCGAAATTGTGCGTTGACCTAACAAAGTTATACGTACAAATGTGGGGCAAAATTTCAAAATTAAGCAACTCTACTTTGGTGATAAATTGCAGTCAAAATTAAAATAATTCATGTTACGCGAATACATACCTGCACAAAATGATATATGCAGACTCGAAGAAAAGTAATTAATTGCAAATAATTACAGTTAACGGATATAAATTAGCGGGTAGTTGCAACCAGAATTAATCGAATAGTATTTAAATGCTGTTGCGAAATTATGTAGTATCGACCCACATGAATATTCAGAGTAAGTAGATTAAATGAAATGTAACAGTTTTTTTTGCATGCATTAGTAATTCTGCATCGGTTGTAACTTATTCAGTAAAAACCGTAGAAATCTAGTTGTTCTCAAACTATTATAAATTCGAACCAAGTCAAATTTTGTACATAACGGATTCCCAATAATTCCAAATTCTTGTAAAATTTAAGTTCCGTGAGTAATTATAAGAATTAATTATATTGAATAGTATTAAAAAGATAGGATATTCTGAGACAAGTGGAGTTTTTGAACACTTCATAAAATATGCAATTGAAATTTGAAAAACCTACACTGCAAAGCCCGCTTCTAATTTTTTTGCTCGAATTGACCTAGGTATATAGTATTACCAATCTCCGTGTTGTGGATGGTTAAATGTTTGTTAGATATTTCTATTATTTGGCACCTTATTTTTAATGTATTTGCACATGTCGCATATAAAAATTTCCGACGTCGGATGAAGCGACTGATCCCCGAATTTTATTTGCCGACCAGACCAGACTTTCTCCACTGGAAAAAAGTACAAATAAAGAGGAAGAACTCACTTACCTTTCACAACAATTCTCGCCCCTTCACTCGTCTTGACCTCGTTCGTCAGTTTGTGCAGGGTTCGGCACGCCCACACCTTTCGCCCGTCAGACTCGTCCACGCTGAACACGTGCAACTCTCCAGACGGCAGCAGGAGCCATTTGCCTGCAAAAAGAAGAAGAAAGAAAAGTGTGACAAAAAAAATCTTGACACGAAAAAGGTGGTTTCGACTCAAAAAACCTTCTCTATTACTTTATCCTCTCTCTCGCCATACTTTTTTACTGTGTGACAATTTTTTTTGGAGAGGAAATGACCCAGAATAAAATTAGAGTGAAAGTAAACTGTGACGAGGTGGGGAATTGCATCATCTTTCTATGGTACAGAGAGTGCTTCATTTTTTTGCAAAGTTTTCGAGAAATGGAAGCTTGCACTTTTCCCTTTTTGAAAATCTACTAAAGGTTTTGTAATAAACACCTTTTTGTACATACAATCACCGGGTGTGATTTTTCGCAAGTATTTTTGCAAAGTTACAGAATGCTGAGAACCTAATTTTTTATGAAATAATTGAAAAAAAAACTTCAATTCAAGAAGAAGGTTTACACCTGAGTAGTATTTTCGATAAACACTTCTTCGCAAATAAAATTTATGGCGTATTTCTTTTCAATTCTTTGCTGCAAAGTTTTTAAATTGTTGGAGGAGACTAAAAAACGAATAAAATGTTTGTGTTGCATAATAAAGAACGTCCGGGAATGAATGGGAATGGTCTGAAAATGTGGTCATAAAATCACAATGAGTTATCGGAATTTTAAACTTTTTGCATATGTATAATACCAAATACGTACCTACATAATTTAATTAATAGCTAAGGCCGCCACACCCCCGTTGGCGACTAGTTCGATTTTCTTGCGAAGATTTTTCATTAAATTTTTTCCCGAAGTTTTTGCCACTTCCGAGGTGATTTTCTTCCATCGTCCTTTGAATTTTCGAAAGGTGTCAGGCACATCTTGAAGCCGGGAGTATACTGACTTAGAACGTGCCCAGAATTTTTCGATTGGGCGGAGTTGGGGTACATTAGGTGGGTTGATATCTTTTGGTACGAAATCAATATTTTTCTTTCTGAGGTACTCGGTCACTTTCTTTGCATAGTGACAAGTGGCGAGGTCAGGCCAAAACAAAACTTTATCATTTTTGTGAAACCTATTAATAAATGCTTCCAATCCAGCCTTGACGCAATTTTTCAGATAAATATCTTGATTGATATTCCCTTCGAGAACTACCGGGTCTGATACATGTCCGTGACTGGAGATGCATTGCCAAATGCAATATTTCTTTGGAAATTTGTCTTTTTTTCGTACTTTTTCTTCATAAGCCACTTCAGAGGGATCCGAGCTATGAAAAAAATGACGCCCTGGAAGATTTGAAGGGTCAACCGGAACATACGTTTCGTCATCCAGGATCACTACTTTTCCACGCATTTTCTTCAACAATTTTTGACAGCAATCCTTGATCCGACTTTCTTGTACGGGCTTGTAATTTGGTGCAGGTTTTTTGGTCCTTGCTTTGATTCCTAATTTATGGACCTTAATTTCCCCCAGGTAGCTTTTGGAAATTTTGACTTTCCTGGCAGCTACAGCTACTGACGTTGATGGCTTGGTTTTGAAAATTTTTTCAATTCTATTTTTCACTCGAGTGGTCGCTAGCTTCGCCGGACGACCAGCTGGCTTTTTGAATTGCACATTTTCGGAATCCTTGAACTTTTTTATGTAGGAATACACATTTGAACTTGGAATTCCTTCCTGCTTAAAAAAGTTCTAGGTCACCTTGGAGTCTCGGTTGGCTGTCGTGTTGTAGAACTCCATCACTCGTTTTCCTAACAGCTCCCTTTCAAACAAGCTTCTTCTACCCTTATCCATTTTTGAAATTTAAGAGTGATATACCAAATTGACCCTAATGAAGTGGGCTTTCAGAAATTTAAATTATTATAGTTCGCGGGTTTATTGATTTGTCAATATACTCGCTAGAGCGCGCATTCCCATTCATTCCCGGACGTTCTTTAATTTCATTATTTTTTTCTAAGTTTCACCGAGTTGGAATAAATTTGTGATAGAATAAATTTGCAAAATTAATTATGTCTAGCAAATATTTTTTTGCAAAGTTTTGGTAATAGTGGGAACACAGGGAAACAAGTGAGTGCATAAACAACGGACCTGTCTGGAAGTTAGGATAAATGTTGAGTGATCCATCTTGCACCCAGGAAGTCACTGTGATATAGTCCACAAGCTCAGGAGGCGCGAGACAGCTGCAGAAAAAGTGAAGATACAAATTATTCAAATTTTAATTACATCAGTCAATTCGCCAAAATTTTTTATGAAGGTCGTCAAAATTTTTTAAACGGTAATAATTGTTATCCTTGACATTTTCATCAGTCTAAAATTCGTAAATTTATTTAGAATCCTCATTGTATGAAACAAGTAAATAAATGCTCTCGTGGGCATTAATATTAATTAATTAATTAGATACGGGCAAATTTGCGCATGTCACAAATTGAGTCCGTTTCACACATAATCACCCACATTAGCCAAGATTGCCAATATTACCTGATTTGTATTTTTTAGGAACATTTTTTATTTATTTCAATAAAGGCGCTTTGGTTTACAAATGATTCAAATACGAAAATCAAATTCGAAATATATTTTTTTTGAGTTTGTCAAACTAAAACAATTTGTTAATTATTCCTAAATATTGAATAAAAACAAAAAGGCAATTCAGGCAGTCCTTGGTAACTTCGTAAAATCCTTCAGTTTTTAAATATAATTTAGAAAATAAATAGACGCCTTCCATCCGAGTAGAATTATAAAAAATTGGAAGCAATGTCATAAATGCATCGCACCTTCATCATCCAAAAGAATGGCGCATTTTATTTCACTTATCTACGTTTCTCTAATTATTCAAATGGCGTTTTAATTTGACAAATTATTTAAGAATTACGAAAATAGATTGTCATAATTTTCTTAATGCTTCGAGCTAAAGAGATCATCCATTTTTTTAATTGCTTGCAAATGCTAAAGAAATAATTTTATAAGGAAATAATTTTAGTAAGTAAAAACAATTAGGCAAATTCACGCAATTTAGGTGTTGTAAGGTAACTTACAAACTGTTACAAAAGTTTACACATATTTCGAAGGAAAATTAGCTTCCAAATTTTTGTTAACTTGCTCAGGAGCCTCCTTATTAAGGGGTGAAAGCCCTTTATAAGATCGTTATGTCCGTCTGTCTGTCCGTCCGTCCGTCTGTCCGTCCGTCCGTCTGTCTGTCCGTAGCTCCGATAACTTTTGAACGAAAAGACATAGACACTTGAAATTTTCAACGTAAACTCCTAACGTCAATGGACAGGACGAGTTCGAAGATGGACACTGTGACATCGTCACCTGTGACGATGACGTCGTCCCAGTGACGAAAAGTGACGAAAAAGTGTCACGTGTCAGTTTTGACATGTGACACATCATTTTTAACTATTTTTCAATGAGGAATTCGCAAATTCATGTCATTTTGTGTTTGGACGTCACAGTGACGAAAAGTGACGAAAAAGTGTCACTTGTCAGTTTTGACATGTGACACGTCATTTTTAACTATTTTTCAATGTCAAATTCAATGGTGACCTCCATTTTTACCTCAAAGGTCATGTAAAGGTCATAGGACATATCTATTTCAATTTCAACTGAAATTTAACCCCGAATTCAATGGTGATCTCCATTTTGACCTCAGAGGTCATATAAAGGTCACATAAGGGTTATCAACTGTTAAATTTGACACAAATAAGACACAAAAGTCGAAAACACGTCAGAAGTGTCAATCTTAACAAATTTTCGAACAATTTGATATTCACATTGACGTATGACACTCCTTTCACCCCTTGGTTACATGCGTTGTAACGGTTTATTTTGTAAAAGTTTGTAAAATCATTTTAAGAAATTTACGGATTTTACAAAGTTACAAGGGACTGCGTGAATTGCGTCTGTATTTTGATGAAATTTTAGACTTCTCATACATTAATTACAAGGTGCTTGATTTATTGATAGGAATCGCTTAATCTCACAACTTGATGTGACCACGTGTCCGACAGTTTGTACAATTAGTGACAAGAAGGGGAGAAAACTGACCGTAAAAGGGCATTGTTTCCCCGGATCACGACTACGTCCGGATTTTCGATGTGGAACGGGGTGTCCAGCACTGCAAGAATTCCAGTGATGAAGACACAATTTCTAATTAAAATGACATAACGACACAAAGTTTGGGGAGAAAAACTCATTATTTTTTGTGCAAGTTTTCCCCAGAAAGTTTTGCTTTCACTTTTCCCTGGATTTCTTACCTGCACGAACCACGACTTCCGGACTGATGATTGTTCCCGACGGATTACTGAGTTTGCACCGAAGCGTCGCAAAGTGAACGTCGGGTCGGAACTTGTCAATGGGAAAGGGGAGAAAGCGTATATTTCCGGTTGGCAGCACCTGCAAATTAATATTTCGTTAATTACTTTAATGTTAGAAATCCGATGCAGTCAGGCACGTAATGATTTCTCGGTATTAAATTTGCAACGTAAAATTATACAAGTAGGTAAAATTGTAAAATCATTTTGAAATTTGCTGCAGGTGTGGCAAAACTTTAATACCGAGCTATTACAACTTTATATTACTTATCGAGACAACTTGGTATATTCTAACTCTGAATTTCTAAGAGTGTTGAATTTGATTTTTTTTCTAGATATTTCAAGAAAACTAATTTTCAAAGTAAAAATATCAATTGTTTTGAGTATTCCTCAAGTAGATTATAACTATTTATATGATGTTTAAAATTGTACGATTTATTTAAAATTTAATCAGTGTAAAATGCGAGCTTTACGTGTTCATTAACATTTTATGAAATCTATGGACTCTAGATTCTCAACTAAAAATCAAAGGATAGCCTAATTATCGTGAGTAAAGTCTTACGATTTAAAATTCTGAAAATAATAAGAACCTCCCAGACGTTGATGGAAAATTAAATTTTTTCGATGAAACGTCTCAAATCATTTTAGAGATTCTTTGTTATTAAATATAATAAAGCCCGTTGTAAGGAAAACCTTAGAAATTTTCGGATTTTGTTAGTATACAAAGAAATGAGAGGGGAAAGCTATGTATGTTTCGTATTTCTGATTTTAATTAGTTTGACGCCAGGTATAATATTTTTTAGTAAATTATAACAGCTTTAAGTGCTTAAGATGGGTGACAACTAACTGCTTAGGATCTGAGATTAATATAATAATCGACCTAAATTTCGAAAAAAATTCTATATTTTTGAATTTACGGTAAAGAGTATTCATTTCATTCGACCCCATTTTTCCTAGCTTATTACTTACAAGCCGTGACTTTTTACAGCACAGAGAATAATTCTCCCAGTTTTTACAAAATATAAATATTAATTACATGAATCCACATCTAGTTTGACGTTAGATGTAATATTTTATAATAAATTATAACCGCTTTAAATGGTTAAGATGTATGATAATGCTGCTTTTGCTATAAGAGTTCGAAGTTATCCACGATTACATTAGCCTAACAACATGAACATTCATATTAACCTCGAAGTTATTCACCCTGTACTACTTTAAGTGTAAATGATTATCGACGCTAAAATTTATTCACTAGCAAATTCTGAAAATACTAATACAAAATCTCAGAGATCGATAAACTTATATAAAATTTAGTTTTTATCCTGAGACGTTTCAAACCCTACGAATTGCACATTGCTAAGTATAAACAAGGCTGGAGCAGTTACTTTAGGTGTTTTAAATTTTGCTTATATATGTAGAAGTGGAATTAAAGGATTGTAGAGATGAAATTCATATAGTTTTGTATATTTCCGATTTTAGAAGTAGTTTGACGTCAAGTGAAATATTTTGCAGTGAATTGTAATGTTAATTAACGATTAATGCACGTTGTAAATTTAGCGAAATTAAAGTTTGACAAATTTATGGTAACGAGAGTTCATTTGCATAATTCGATCCCATTGTTCCTACAAAATTTTGATTGCTTGTCACTGAAAACGGTGAAAATATTTTTTACAACGGAGAAAATAATTTTACCAACTTTTACAAAATATAAATATAAGTAAAGTTGGTGAATCCACATACCAGAAATTTGCATATACAGCATTGTTATATCGCAAGAAACAGTCTTTTTTGTGTCAAAAATTTGTAACAATAAGAATTTTTCGAAATAATAAAATTTATTTAACTAAGGAAATTAATCTAGCTAAATTTTGTTAAATTTCTGCGTTTTTGAGATTGTAAAGAGTGTTCATTTACATAATTCGATCCCATTCTGCCGGAAAATTTGTCACTGAAAAATGGTGATACATTTGAAGCCAATTTTTTCAACGCAGAAAATGATTTACCAATTATTACTAAATTTAAGTATCAAATACATTAATCAATGCCCCAACTATTAAGCCTAAATCATTACTAGAATTACATTAGAAAAGCAGGTGATCCATTTTTATAAAATTTTGAAAATCCGCAACCAATATTTTAAAATTAACATGGAAAATGGGATAGCTGGACCCGTCCATGCAAATCGATCCCACAATTTTCGCACAGTTCCCAATTTTCCTTTCTCCGCTTTTACTACGCTGAACCACTGTAAATTTAGATCTCGCTTTCACCACTCAAAAACCAGACAGAACAACCCACACAACACTCGCAAACAAATTCCGTTCCTGCAAATGGATGGACTTGGTCAGCCACACAAACACTCGTTCACTTTCACCAGACCACTTCATCATCTCCACTAAATTTTCTCTCCCTCCATCCAACTTTCTCTCTCTATGGATGAAACGGGGACAAATTTGGGTTCACATCATAACCCAAGAGCCATGCATAACACGAAACAATCATGCTTTGTGACGTCCACGAGTTTAATTCTGCTTTCAGGACGGGTGCTTTCACCCAATTAAAATCTTGATGCTTGGGGGTGTTAATCACAAAAAGAGTGTAATGAAATTACGTAATTTTATTGTTTCTCAGTATGTTGAATATGTTAGCACCCTGGAATAAGCGCTCAAACGAACTCAAAATTGTTAACATAACTGTAGCAGAATATGTGAGGCTTTACCGCATTGGTAACGATTTGTCGTCACAAATTTTACAGGAATACAAAAATTTTGAACTATAGTTTTGAGTTGGATAAGAATTTCTGTACCATACTAGTCCAAATCATCCCAATCTTGGAATAAGTAATAGTAAGGTTTAATTTTGCACACAGCTCTGGTAACGATGTTTCACCAAATGGAAACAGATTTTCTCCAGATTATTTAACCAGTCCGTTGACATTAGTAAGGAACAAGAATAAGTAAGCACGATTTTCAACTTGTCTCAACCTCAATATACAAAAAATTCACAATTTAAAGGCATTTATTCCGATCAACCGAAGTTTCATTTCTCAATCTTCTTCTTGTCTTTATTTATTATCAAACGGTAACAATTTAAAATGTCAATACTTTTATATTATAAAACACGTGACTTCCTCATGAGTACCCCTTTTCTCACTAATTTCACTAATTGTATCTCCCCAGCATGTAATTCCACTCTGTGTAAAATCAGGGATTACATAATACACCTGTCTCTCCATCTGTCCTATCCACCGACTTCATGGCTTTACATGCGTACATGCTTTCACTCATTTCATCCCTAATCTAAAATCATCTCGAACAAAATTTCTCGTCAAAACACATATTTTGGTGAAAGCAGCCTCCGAAGAACACATTGTGATCGTCTGGTCCGGAGTTGTCCCCTGATTTATGTTCTCGGTGGGTGAAAGTAGAAAGGAAATAAATAAATCGTGCCGCCGACTTTCACCGAAATTCTAATTTTGTCCTTTTCTCCATTCATTCCTCTCCGCTTGTTCCTTGATTCCTCGTCCTATTAAAATCCAATTTTGCTCACGGGGAGGGCAAGCCGGTAACCAAGAGATGGATGAAATTGGACGGGAGAAAGCACGGTTTATGTTCCCAAAGTCGGAATAAAACGTAATTTCGACCCAACATAAAATTTATGTGGGTTTAAGATTGGAATAAAATGGACTCGAACGGCGAATTCTTCTCCCCTGAATGGAGGAGAAAGGTGGAGAAGAAAGTCTTCATTTTTTAGTCGATTAATGTAATGATTACGTATCTATTATAAGGCGGATTATTTTGTAAATCGATCACATGCTTTATGTACGGCCCCAAAATATAATTTAAAACTTTTACAACTTTAAAAATCAATTTAAAAATTTCGATAGCAGACATCGAATCTAAACTATTTTTTCGCATTTAAAACTAAATAATAAATTACTCCTGGCGCTGAAAATGTACAATTTATAATAATTTAAGATTTTGAAAATTTCAAAGACTGTCTGCATCCGAAATGTTCTGAGATTGACTTATTTCAAAGTTGATGAACATTCTCCTTAGAACGTAATTGAATTTTGTCCTTTTTCGCAAATTATTCAATTAGTCAGCACCCGAAAAAATGAAGTACTTTTAACAAGCTTCGTTTTATTAATATAAACTTGCAATATTTCTGCCTTTTTAATACCCATGAAATTATTTTCCTTATTATGAAATTACGTAATTTACGCAGTAAACATTGACTTCCCATCTAAACTTTTACAACATTTTTCACAAATAAATATTAAATTACTTTCGTTGCTAAAGATGCATAATTTGTAAGATTCTGAAAATTCCTATTTCATTACTCAGAACGTTGTGGATTGATTTTTTCAGTTTTTTTTTCACTCTACTGGATGCATATTGTTGCTCAAGATATGAATTAATAATTAAACTTTTCACGTGTGCTTCCTTAAATTATCGAACAAAGTTAGTCTTTAAAAGTTGTCTGCGACATTATAAATACTAAAACACATTCAAAATTAAGAGACAATTTTAAAGTTCACTTTCTTCATTTTGTTGTCGAGAAGCTATAAATTCAAACTAATTTACTGTTTAACCAATTGAAATTATAAAGTTGGGGAAACACCTATACCATGGAACATTCGTAACTGACTAACGTATAACGTTAATTGCTTACGTATCATGTATATATTTTGTCGTGCACAGTGCTTCATTAAATTGATAAACTTGATATTCCAATATTGCTATATGTTATACCGTATAGTCGGTAACACCGCCAAACCACATGATAATATACACAGTCCTTGGTAACTTGAAAACTCTGTAAATTTTGTAAAATAATTTTACAGACTTTTATAAAATGAAGAAACCCCCTTGATCGGAGCAAGTTTACAAAATTTTGTGAGCTTACTTCCTTTCGAAATGTTAGTGAAATTTTACGAAAGTTAGTAAATTGAAAGAATTTACGGGTTTTACAGTGTTACCAAGGCCTACGTGAATATACTCAGTAGCATAGACTCGAGAACCTCAGTGTACAAGGGAACGCTTGAAATTGTTCCACTTTACATATTTCCTCCACCTGTAACAACGTGTTATTCGCGTAAATATTTGGCACGAAATGGTGAACTATATAACTACACTAGGATAAATAAGCAATAATAATGCAAAAAAATGAAGTGGAGTAAGGAATCATGCAAAAAGGGAAAATATCATACCCACAAAAAAAAACATTCTCCCTTTCATCTGCTTTCTCTCTCACTTGCTGCGACAAGAAGCTGTCACTCTCACGCCAACAATATACAAAAACACAATTGGAAATAAACAAGTTTGGGGAGAGGACATGATTTCACTTTCACCACGACTTTCACCTCGTGAGAAAATTGGACCACTTTTCTCCCAAGGAAAAAAGTGTCTCATTCTATTTAAGGAAAGTAATTTATTCCTTGTGCAAAGTAATGGGGGTACTCAAGTCAAAATTATTCGGGATGAGGAAAAGTTATTAAGTTTGCGAAAATAATGAGAATTCTTCAATTTTTGTAAAATTAAGATATGTATGCATTCATGAAAGTTTAGATTCGCAAATTAATCGGGCACTATTTTGCAAACTTGTGGAAACGACCTTCAATTTTTTCGAAAATTAAATGTGCTTAAATTAAATTAAATTAAATATATTTTATCATAAATTTAGGTAAATTCAATTGGAAAAATTCATGGTAACTTTAACATACGCAATTTTAAATCATTTAAAAAACATGTAAATTACATGAGAGGAGCCGATATAATAGCCAAGAAAACAGATTCTACAAAAATTACTTGCAACTTGTGAGTGCTTTTCAATTTGCTTTGATGACCCAAACAGCGAGGTGTGTCACATCTGTGTGACGTGATCGTTAATTCAGTTTTGAAAATTATGCCTTACCAACAGCAAAGTCATCCAGTTACATAAATTATAATAAAAATACACTTGCATCGTGATAAAAATACCTCTAATTTGATTTGGTCCGTGTACTTTATAATTTTTAAAATATTTCTAACAAGAGGATAATCGAACAACTAACGAGTTGTTATTTCAGAAACTTAAATTAAGATGAAAATAGATAAATTAAATTAACAAAATTGGTAATTTTATAGATATTATAATAAACACAATCTCTGTTAATTTGCCAAATTAAAATCGGTCCTTTTCCAAATTAATGCATGAAAATGACTGAATTGAAGTGAATATCCCGAGTAAACCCCATTTTTTTACCTCATTTACCTTTTTCCCATTCAACTCTCTGTATTCAAATCATATCCAAATTTTATTATATTTTCATTTTCCTCTCGTCCCAAAGAATATTTGGATTCCATTTTACGATCGTGATCACTTCTTCCCATTCTCCCTTTCTTTCTCTGCGAATCTTTTGTGGTGGGGAAAGTTTGGGGAAAGTAAGTATCGTAAAACGAGCAATTTATAACTCTTTCAATCCAAATCGAATTTAGGCCACAGTTCACAACAAAAAGCACCCCACCTGGTTTTCCCTCCTCGTCCCACACTTTCACCACTCGGAGGACAAGGAATCACCAGGATCAAATAACTCTGCGATCCATTGTTGCTACTTCCCCAACAAACGAAATGTTCGTATCTTCTTTCTCTTTTTGGTGGACTCGCTCTCTCTTCAGGACCAAATTTAGTAATCCTTTCTCTACGAAAACCACACTTTCACTCCGCGAACAGAAAGCATTGTGAGTTTGGGTACAATATCTGTGGATTAAATACACGCTAGGAAATTTGTGAGAGCTTAAAAAAATATGCGAGAGTAAATTTTCTTCATTTTTCGAAGTAAGTTTTAAAAATTATTTGAGAATTAGAATTTTTAAATTTTTTTCTAATTTTTTGAACCTGCCCATCAAACAAAAAAATTATTAAGAGTAGAATTCTCGGAAGACATGGTTGTTGGTATGTAAAGCAATTTATTACAAGCTTTCGATGCCACACTTGCATCATCATCAGACAACTTTTTTAAAAATAATATTTTTAAAAATAAAATTTAAAAAAAAATTATTATTTCAAGGCACGTTACATAAATTTTGTATAGTCTTTGAGAAGTTAAAGCCTTGCTGTTTTAAAATCTTCAAACTTTTTAATATACTAAAAAATTGAGGAAAACTATGAAATACTTACGATTTAAAATTGCATTAGGATTTGTTATTATCAGAAGTTTTAAAATTAACAAAAAATTGAAAACATTTAAATTTGAGGTTTTTTTTGTTAATTTAAATTTTGCTGTGCGGTATTATTTAGAGTTCCGCTTGTGGGTTTCACCATAAAACGAAATTCTTTCTCGAGCATATTCGCACAACAAAGAAGAAGTGATGGTAACAGAACGAGCAATGACCTCGAGTTTCACCTCTGCAAGGAGGAATGGTGGCAGTGAGGCAGAAAGAGAAAATGGAGAAAGTACAAGGGCAACATTTCCTTTGGAATTTTACTATAATTTCCCCCAGTTTTGGGTGGTATTGTTTTCGACAAAATTACAAAGTTGAGATAAAAACGTGAAAGTTTGGAATAATTGGATGACTTCTTAGCCCATGTAAAATTGGCACGATTTTTTAATTACTAAAATTAATAAACATAGATTTGGTTTTCCATATTTGTTGCTATATTATTAAATAAATATTTTCTTATGTTTTGGAAGTATTTATCAACATTCAAAACTGCAAAATTAAGCAAACGTCTCAAATTTCATATGCAAAAATGTATAAAGTTTACATTATTTCGAGAATAAGGTGTAGATGAAAGTTACCAATAATTAAATGACTTCTGATTGTGAGCCAATCCTGTGAAAGTAATAATAATTAAAAGTACAGGTGAATTTCAAGTTGAAAGTTTGCATATAATAGCATGACATCTGAGCTAATTTGTAATTTAAAGAATTTTTGTAATTTTTTGAACGTGGATAATCGAGATAAGTCCAGGGTTAGCCAAATTAGATGCTTCTTGGTTATAACGGTAAATATTCGCATACTACTTATTTTTAGAAGTGGTTATTAAGATCGAAGTAAAAAATACAAAATGTTTCAAATTTTTTTGTGCAAGAATTGGTGAAATTAGCATTATTTCGAAAATATGGTTTGACCAGGATTTTATTCAAGGGAAGTTCCCATGAATTCCGAACATTCTTAATCTAAAGTTCAATGTGTTGTGTTTCGACAAAATTACAAAATCGTAGTAAAAAGGGGAGGAAAATGTTTGTAATAATGCATGCATGATTTCTGAGCCGATGTGAAATTCAAACGGTTTTTGTAATTACTAAATACATTTAACCCAGATGCAAATCTTTGACTCTTTGACTATGTTTATATTTTTCTGGTTTTTGGAAGTATTTATTAACAATCGACATTGAATAATTCGACAAATTTCCCAAATTCATGAAATTAGTATTATTTTGAAAACATGTACAACAAACTGACCTCTCTCAACCCGGTGACGTTTCCGATGGGAAATCCATCCCGGGAGACCCACTCGACCCGCGGGTGTGGCGACCCGTGCCCCCCACAGCGCAAACTCCCACCCAATCTGCTACTGAAAGCGTACGAAGAGCTCCACTCGTCCAAAAAACGGGGCCCACTCTCATCCAGGGATAAAGTCCAGGCTGAAATTTCAGAAAAAAATAGATATTAAAACTTTTATTCAGGTGTTCATAGTTTTTCCACATTAATCCAGCATCGAGATTGATTAGTTTTAGACAAATATTTTGTTTTGTGCGATTCTGTATGTGAGAGCAAACAAATTTTAAGATGAGTTCAAAGAAAAATTTTGAAATAAATTGAAATGAGACATTTTTAAGTAACAAGTTGTGAACTGAATTGAAAAATTTCTAAACGACACAAAAATAACGAGTAAGAATTTTTTAATCATACATTTTTGGTTTCGCTTGTGAAAGTTTTTTAATTTCAAGGTTTATAATTGGAGTCAAATTTTTAAATAAAAATAATTTAACAAAAATTAAGGATTGATAAAAATAAATGAATTATTCTGCACAATATTTAATCCTGGCGATTTGTTTCGAAGGAAAACCTAAGTTTTGTATTCATTATTTTTAACCTAAAATGCATATTTTCGGCGTCTACCATAGCCAAATAATTTTTATTTCGCAATTGTTCGCAATAAATTTCGAAAAAATTTAATTACGTTTAATGAGAGATGCTGAATTCCACAACGAGGCTTCACTGTCACCCTTTCGTTACAAATCAAAATTGATCATTATGAATTTCTCCGTAATTTTGAAAATAAAACTTAATGCCGAAATAATCTTAATTCTTATATATGACCCAAAATATATTTATGGTTTGGTCTGTGTGAAAGTTTTTGCATATAAATTTTTACAGAGTTAATTATTTTTAATATATAAATTGATAAAAACAAATGAAATAGTGTTCTTTATTTAATTTTAGCAAGAACTTCATCTACATATAACTAATCTCAACTCACATTACTTCATGTGTAATCTAAAATTTTCATTTTCGGCGCATATAATAACCAAGTCACAATTATTATTATGTCACTATATTTCGTAGTAATAATTTTCGCGAAAATATGCTTCTGCTTAATTATGAAAAACTCTGAAATTGGATTTAACTTGGATTCACTTCTGAGATTCATTCAAGTTATATACAAGTTTGAAATCGATAAAATAATCAAATATAAATACAATAACTGTAAAAGTTAGGTTTTGCATGTAAAGTTTCATAGCTGGAATTAAACTGCAATTTTTTTAAATTTGTAAAATAAACAAATTGATAAAAACAAAAACATACTTAATATTATATATTTGTAATATTTAATTTTTAACCATATCAATCTAACGCATCTAAAATTGAGTTACTTTTGTTCTTAAGCTATAATTCTTATTTTCGACGCCTGGCAAAACCAAATAATTACTATTACTATTTATAGCAATGTTTCGCAATAATGATTTCCGCGAAAGCATGCTTACATTTAATGAAAGATGCCGAATTACATAACGTGAGTTCACCCCTATTCACTCCTTCACACGTACCTCATTTGGATACCAATTAAAATTTACCATTATGAAGTCTCTAATTTTGAAAACAAAACAAAATACGGAGTTTTGATGATTCAGGTCTAACATTTGCCCTAGGCCGGAGAGAATTCCCTGCACATCAATATTCCACGCTGTTCTGGTTCCTCTCTCGCTTTCACCACTTTCACCACTATCTCTTCCCGCTGGTCGAGTGGAAATGCAAATGCAAATCCGTACTCACTCTTCGCCGCGTTGTCACGGCGGAGAAAGTTCGGAACGGAGCAAGCTTAAAAGTTTGGGGCGATATTTTGTATGTAGGTTGACGATACGTATTTTGATAAATATTTTGTTATGTGCGAGTTGGGTTTTGTGCAAGGTTTCACAAAAAAATAATTGAAATTTGAAAACTTACACAAAAGTTGTACTCCATTTGTGAATGAAACATGAATCACACATACATAAAAATTAAGATAGTTGTCACCTATTAGGTCTGTGTTTAAATGTATTGTTTATTTATTTCAACAACGACATTTTAGTTTGACAAATTCTTTAAATATTGAAATTTTAAATTGTTTGCAAATGTTGATGAAATACTTTCATCGAGGAAAAAAATCATGCATTCCTGGGTAACTTTGGAATATACGTAAACTTAGAAACTTTTCAACAAAATTTTGAAAATATATCGAAGGAAAATTAGCTCACTTTCTTTGTAAGCTTACTCAAATCAAAAGCGCCTTTTTATTTTTAAAATTGTGTTTAATTATTATACACAGTTTACGAATTTTACAAAGTTATCAAGAACTACGTGAATAGCCTCACTGTTTTTTAAACGCTGTTTGTGATTTATTGTGAATTTCTTACGATTTTTGATACCACTTTGGTGTGAGTATTTATTATAAGTGACGATCTTATTACATGAAAGCTTCCAACTAATTTTTAAGGGTGAACTTGTAAATTCGAAGAGTACTGCAAACACGGCACCTTCTTCTGATAAAACAAGAGAAACGGGTAGACAACAACCGTAGCGGGATAAAATCCATCCGATTCAGCATCATGCATCATTCCACCCGGAATGATAAACAGAACGGAGGGCGCACAGACTAATAGTGCTTTCCCCACTTTCACTTTTTTTGAAAAATACAAAATTACCACGGGTTATGAATTTTTCTGGAAATTAGTTTTTACAAGAAAAAATGCAATTTTTCACGAATTTCTTTAATTCCCCTGTTTTGGTTTCACCTGCAGTGGGGGAATTAGTTCATTGGCAAAATGTAGATAAAGATTTTACTACCAAATTCTCAATAAAATCAGAAGAACCTTGGTAAATAATGTTGTCAAACAGGATAACGCACCCCGCTTTCAGCGCAATGAGAAACAGTTTCTTTATCCAATTTGGCGGTATATTAACCCGTATGAAAGTCGTGTATAGAATTCTGTAGAGTAGGAAATTTATTTATTGACAAATTTACATGATAGACAAGACAAGATTTCTTGATAAGTATGAATTTTTGCATTAGTGCTCTCTGCATGCAAAATTGGCATGCCTTTGCAGAAAATTTCTGCTGGGTCGGTTGTCCAGAATAATTCGTGCATATTTCTGCATATTTGGAGTTTATGCTCAATTCGCTCTGCACAAATACTGTTTTTCTGCATATAAATTCGGCTAATTTTCGCCAGGAAATAAGTTTAAATTTTAATATGGCAAAATTGTTGTTAAATTCGGAAAATTGTAAAAAATTTAAATTTTCTCTTATCCTCCTCGACCTTTGATATTTGGAATCAGAAGTAGTGAATTTTTAGTACGGTGCACCATACTAAAAATTCACTACTTCAGATTCCAAATATTTCAAAATATCCAAAACCTAATTAAATATTAAAATTCCAGCATTAAGTGTAGCGGAGAAGTGAGGTGGTTCACTTCTCCTCTTTCTCCTCCAATTTTCGGCACTTTCAAAATTCTCTTTAATTTTCAAAAACAACAAATTAGATAATGATTCCTTCATCTCTAAAATGATAACGGCCCAGTTTTCATCTTGCATTATGTTGGTACCCATCATTCCTGCAATATCTACCTCGACAGGAATTGGGCCCGAGAAGGAAATGAAATCCATATAGAGACGAAGTCAAAGTGAAGTTTCTGTTGAACGGAGTCGTTTCAGCATTGCATTTCATATTTGCTTTCACCTCGCCTCACTTCACTTTCACTTCACGGCACGTCACTCCGAATTGTGCTCACATTTGCACTCCCTTCTTCATCCTCATTTCCATCCTGCCAGGGCAGAGGAGGATCCATTTAGCTCTCGGTGGCTTGGTCTCGGTCTGCGGCTTCGTTGCGGTTTTGAATTCGGATGAGGGTTTGGATCGCATATTTGTTTAAAATTTTATTAGGTTTTAGTTCAGATGCAAAATTTTGAATGAGAGATGAGATTTGGATTTTGTGTGGATGAGATAAAATTTGTAGGCTTGATGGGAATCATTTTGTTTTAGTATTCGGTTATTTGGATGGAATTGGAAATGAATTGTATTTCTGAGGGAGAAAATTTATGCAAAGTTGAGAAAGTGAGAGGGTTGAATTATTTATAATTGGTAGAGAAAGCAATGGGTGATTGATGTCCGTAAAGTGGAGATGAAGACGAATTTTAATGTTTTTTCGAAATTTAGAAGTGATTTTTTATAAGAAATTAAAGTATTCAAATTTTAGGTTCCGTCTTAGTTTTAAGGTTCTGTCGTGTTGCGTTGTTTAGGTGATTTCTTTTTTCCCAGGAATGGCAACTTTGCCAATTTTTGATCAAAATAGTGTCCAAATTATAAAGGCAAGAATGCAAAATCAATTAGACAAATATCGATATGTTTAAACATAAATAAACAATTATGTTGCGTTTCGACGCCATTCACTTTATTAACAAGTTTTTAGTAAATCATATAAAACGTAGGTCCGTTTAGGTGACGTGTATAGAATCATAAAAATATGTACTTATTAAAGGTTTATTATTATACGACCGAACGGCAACAATAACTTCGGGGAGGTTTAATTTGACACCAGAAAGTGTCAAATTTGAGTTTCCTGGAAATTAGTGATATCATATTCAGCAACAAGTTTTTACCTGCCTGACACACGCAAAGCCGATTTTTTTACCAACCTATTTTGAGTATAGATTTTGCAAAAGGGAGCGTCCATAAATCACGTGATCGATTTTTGGACAATTTTGACCCCCTCCCCCCCCTTGGTGACCGGTGGTGATAATTTCTCTACCCCACCCCCCACCGGTCACGTGACAGGATATGATGCTCAAATTAAATCATGTTGTCCGGAATAACAATATTTTTAAATCATTAATCAAATTAGAGCTGCATTACACACATGTGTAAATAACTATTTAATACGCCAGTCAGACACAAGAGTTTAAGTCGAAGCAAGTTTTAAAATATGCAAAATGAAAATCAAATTTATATAACGTGCGTGTGGTATGCCAAGAGAGTTTATATATAACTCTCATGACATTTATTGGCATATACAAAAGTTAGAAAAACTTTACTCAAGTCACGTGACATCTGACCATCTACCCCCCCCCCCCCCCCGTGATAATTGGTGACAAATTTCAGACCCCCTCCCCCCGTCTAATCGATCACGTGATTTATGGAGGCTCCCTAAAGATATCGGCCCTTTTCAAAATGAGACAAATTGAAATTCATAACTAAGAAAAAAGTACAGACATTTCCAAGAACTAGACAAAACCAATGTCATCTCCCCTAAGAATATATGATCTTCCTCCTTCTCCAACTTTTTTCCATGATGAAATCAACTCGGACACATAAGTAAAAGATAAACAATCGAAGAAAGTGGATCTCCTTTCACTTCGCGCGCAATTTCCACGTGTTTGTTGAGTTACGTAACTCATCTACTTTCACTCGAGTGAAAGTGCACATCCTTGAGCCCGGTTTGGTTTGATTTGGTTTGTCGTGAAGGTTTCGACTTTTGGACAGACGAGGACGAGAGTGGGAGTGGAATTGTATTGTCTCATTAAAATTTGAAGAGATTCAAAGAATTGGAATTGTGTTGCGATCGGAATGAACGAGCCGGGTTGAAGTGCACACTTCAAATCTAATTGACACCGACAAACAGACAAGAGAGGAAAAAGAGGGAATGCTATATTTTGCCAAACTGGCCCAAGCCCGAGCTGGAGTGGGCGTGGAATTTATGGGTTAAAAGACATGATTTGATTCGTAAATTGCGTAAATTTTAGAAATTTTATAAATAACTTGAAGATGATAACCTGTCATTGGACCAGTTTTGCTTTTGAGAATTGCGTTTTTGCTGTTTCCCTAAACCCATTAAAGAATGGAAAAAAGTCATCTGCCTTATTGCATTACAATTATGATGATTTATAAAAAGTTACAAATGTCGCATAAGTCATTCAACTTATGCAAACTGATGGGATACAAATACTTTTCATTTGTTCACTAATTTCCCTTCGAAATGGTTACAAAATTTTGCAAAAGTTTGTAAAATAAGGTTACAAAATTGATTTATTTTACAATGTTACCAAGACCTGCATTAATTGCCTAAATATGCGACAACCAAGACTCTTATACCGAAACGTTTGTACAGACAGACATTCCAGTCATATAAATGCTTGATCCCACCCAAACCAAAGTCTGTATAGAGTTATTCGAGTTATTCTTTACTTACAAGACCGTACACAAAGAATGTGATCGATTTTCACTGAATTTTGACCACAATAATTACTATTCGCTCAAAAAATAGAGACAACAAATTCGCAAGGTTATCTTGGAGATTAACAAATTAGCATATTTTAACCTTTTAGAAAATTTTAAGTACTTTTGTCACTATTCTTTTACTAACAGTATTCAACATCCTCTCCGAACCATCCCAGTCTTTGGGTGGCAAGGAGACCCGTTTCCCGTACTTTTATGTATTTTGGAATTTGCACGAATCAAACAAGATCAAACAAGACACTTGAAGTTGCACGAGTTTAGCACGCTGTCACTTTAACTTCCACTCTCCGACATGACACACGGATGGCTCGAGGGAGATCGTCCTCCCACGCGCAATATATTTCTGGATGGCTTTTACTTTGCTAATTGCGTGAGGGATCAGCCGGAGGGAATTGGCTAAGAATAATACGGAATGTCGAAGGTTAATGGATTGCAGGTGTATTTTTGGACATATTAAAATTCTGTTTTAATTTGTTAAATGCAGAATTATTTAAAATGTTTATAGCATGTATTTGCAGGAAATTTATTTATTTGAATGCATGCAAGTTGTACTCGAGCAGCGCTTGATCTGAAATTGCAAAATAAAAAAAAAATCCTCCCCCCCCCCAAACGGTGCAAATCATAATCCAAGAAATTTTGTAATTAAAATTTGTAACTAATTTGAAATCGTTTTACTTTTGAATAGAAACGCCTATCTAAAAACTGTTATATGTATGTTCAAAATTAGAATTCACGCCAAGTTTTGTACGCTTAAAATAATTTCGAAGCTAAATTATCACGGACTACCAAACAAATTGGTAAAGCCAGATAACATAACTGAGGGTATATTGAAATTTTGTGAGAGTTAGGCACCATTTTATTAATTACAAGTATTTTATATTATTAAATACATTGGCCTAGATTATTTGGATCTCAGTTATTTAATTTATGTGCAGTTTGCAATTATTTTACAAAAGTCTACAAAATTAAGACACTGATCTTGTAAGTGTAACAAGAATTTGTTGTTTTTCATCCGTAATTTTTTAAAATTTACGTTAACTATTCGCATGCAAAAATATTTTATTGATAAAATAAAATGTGCAAAATATATTTCGGACATTTCTTCCTCATGAACCCCTGGTCATACCCCACAATGAGACGAAGGATCTCATAAAAGTGAAAGCTGCCCCTAAAAAACCTCTCATCTTTCCTTTTGTATATCTCTCCCCAAAAACGGCGTGGCTGGTTTAGCCTAGCCCGTCGCAATAATTCTAAACAATGGGTCGGCATAAATAAGGAAAGTGGTGGGAGAAAGGCATCGAGAGAAAGCTGGCGGAGAAAAACAATGGCGAAAAGAAGAAGAACAAAAGCTCGGATGAAATTCATAAAGGAAACGAAAGCACAATAATAATCCTCCAAAGTCGACTTTATCTTTATGTCTGCTAAATTTCGATGGCTTCTGGGTAGAGCCAGGGAAACATTGAATACTTTATTTATGGAGGGTATTCACGCTAGGTTTGTAAACGCTGTAAAAAAATGTGGAATGAGTTGTTTGTAGCCGAATGGAGACAAAAATTTCTGCGAGTTTCCCACACAGACGGTTAATTGGGGTAGATAAGCCAAATCAAATTAACTAATTTTCGTCATTCTGTCAAAAATTCTAAATTTTCATGATTTGTCGTTTCAAATTCTGGAAAAATGTATTTAGTCTCTTTTTCCCTTTACGCATTCTGCCTCTTTTTCATGACGCCATGAAATTCAAGATACGCGAAAAACCCCCAGGAAACGAGCCACGATTAAACAACTGACACGGACGAGACGCATCATAATTCTGTTTCTTGGAACATTCCTTTCCTGCTTTCACCAACTTTCTTCGCACCCACGCGAACCGTAAAGTGAGAGAAAGCTTAATAAACATCTTTCTTTGAGAGTGACGTGACACTTCGTGAGTTTTGTGGTTTCTGTGCTCATCTGTCTGCACCATTGTTGTCGGGTCTCTCGTCTTGTTAATAATCCTCTTAAAGAGTGAAAGTTGGTGTGAAGACGGTGTTCGTCGTCGCAGAACCACTATCACTCTCCAGTTTCGTCTCTGTCCTCATTTGGGAGCGACAAGCATAAACAAACTCGTCGACACGAAGATAAAGTTCAGGTTTTATGTTTACATGATGTGATCATGCGATGTCTTTTTCACGGGGTTGGGAAAAATTGTGACAAATTGAATATTTTTGATGAAACCTTAGAGTTAAAGAAAATAAAAATTTCTTAAAAATGAAATTCTTTTCTTCTTGGTAGTTGTTTGCAACCTTTAGAATACCACAAACAAGAGATCTTACTTTTAACATTTTAATTATTATTTTATAAATAATTATCTACGGCGTTGAGCTGTTCAAAACGTATTTGAAGATTGAAGTAAAGTCAAATTAATAATTTATACAATATAAGGACTCAATGACTCATTACCAAAATCGTTTAAATCGTTTTTAATGTTTCTAAGCTATGGAAATTTATTTTAAAATTCTGATCAACTTTATGAGATTTGAGAAAAAATGAAATTCTTATTTACGATATACAAAATGTAGTTAGCTTGCAAAATCTTACCTTGACAAAGAGTAAGCTCGAGAAAGAGAAGCGTTCCATAAAAAATATTCTTCCCCAGGTTTGAGTTGTACTTGAAATTTCGAATTAACCGTTTTGTATCGGTTTTCCCTTTCACTTCGAGCGTTGGTTTCACCATTTAACTTGCTAATTTTTACACGTTTCCTTGCATAGCTAAAATTGACGTAACATTACGTTTTAGTAATATCAGGAAAAAAACTGCACAACGGAACTGTACACAAATAGAAAGATATTTGGTATTTTTGACGCACTTGTTGATCCGATAAAAAGCTGTGTAGTGATTTTCAACTTTTTCTTCACTATTTTTTGTAGTTAAACAATAAAATCTGCTCGAAACACAGAGAACATTGGCACACACATTTTTAAATAGCATTATTTATTTTAAGGAAGCTAGCACGATTTAATTTTAGAATTAGTATTAAACAGATGCTGCCTCGCCTCGACTCAGAGTGTGCAAGGGCAAAAAGGCATGCGGTGCCTAAAATTCCTTTTTGCCTATTAGGCACGTGAATTTTGGCCATGCCCGATTGCCCGAAATGCCTCTTTGGTTAAATCGGGGCAATGTGATAATACGATCCCATGATTTGTTCGTTGCAATCTTTCACAGTTCACAGGATTTGTCGATGTGTGAACAATTAAGATATTAAGCCGATTTGAATTATCATCTATCTATATATGTAGATGTACATATACATATGCAGATTATCATCTACATATCTGTACACCACTAAAAAATGTATGCACGTCTTGAGGTGTACAAATACTCACAAGTACTCTTAATTGTCATACGTGCGTAGGGAAATAATGTTATGGAGTAGCTATGTATAAGTGTAAGGTTGGTAACGTTTTAGAAAAACCGAAATGCAAAGCGAATTACATTGTTTTCACTCTTTCTTGTCCATAGAAAAATTTGTCAATGGTTCAGGCAATACCCAATGGAAACATACGGAAAACGGCAAAAAGGCATCAAACGGGCAAAAAGGCACACAAAAAGGCAATTCGGCATTGAAACGGGCAAAACGGCAAAAAGGCATGAATTTTTTCCCAAAAAGGCGCCTTTTTGCACACTCTGCCTCGACTAAATCAAACGTCACTTATAAAACATATTCAAGTCCTGCAAGTGGAATTAAAAATCGTGAAAAATACGAATATAGCTTCGTACATTAGAACAGCGTGGACGTCGGTTATAATTCTACAGAAACCCGACGATTAAAAATTTTCTGGCAGATTGAACACTTTCGTTCCCCAGAAGAATGAGTGGCATCCGTCACGAGAAAATAGTAAATTACGTGATCGACTTCGTAATTAAAATTTAATTTGTGAAAACGATTTTAATTTATTTTTATGAATTACAGTTAATTCCAGGGTGCCCCATAGTAAAAAAATATATAACGGTAATATTCATATCACACACCTTTCAGAATTTATATTCAACTCACTTATTCACAAAGTTAGGAACTCCTCAGTTGAAAAAAACAGTGCATATTGATTTAAATTATTCCACACAATTTATTATTGGGTTTTCCAGTCGAGCGAGTGAAAGCAGACTGACCACTAGCCGAAAACTTTCTCCACTTTTTTTTACCAACCACCCAACAAAACTGTCCGAGATTCGGACTAAACTGGAGGCTTGATTGTTCTTATTGGGATATAAATTTGTCTTCGTCAAATTTATTTTAATTTTAATTTTTGATAAGGTAGAAACCAGAAATTTAACAATTTCAACTTTCAGGACAAGATGAAACTCTAATATCCTCAACTAATTTGGTGAAGCATGAGTGTAGGTTTGGCTGAAAGTGGATTTCGTGATGGCGAGATTGCAGAGAACGAGAGCAAGAAGTACGAGTTGTTTCCCATCGAGCGAATGAAAGCAGACTGAGCACGTGCTGGAAACTTTCTCCACTTTTTACGTCATGCACCCAACAAAACTGCCCGGTTTCGGGTTTGACTAAGGTGAAGGTCGTCTGAGGAGTCTGGCTCATTGCTCCCTCAGCTGAAGTGGTTAGTCTTGAAGCACGCGCTGGGATAAAATAGTGACAGTTAGGACGAAAACTGAGAATAAGTATGTAAAACTAACGTCCCTTTAGATACACCATAAATATGTAAATTTCCATTACGTATATGTACGACCTCTGAGCACTAAACATTTCTTGCGAATTGAGTGTAATCTTGTGTGTAAATACTACGCGGAGATAACCACAATCTGACTAGATTTTTGTTAGTTAGTTTGTGGAATTCTATGCAAAATTTATTTGCAAATTTGCTAAATTTCTGCAAGAGAAGAGATGTCATGTGAAATTTAGTTGGGTTACTTTGTGTCGGATTTGTATCATCATCCCCACACAATGAAGCAGTCTTGTCTGACTCTGAGGCAAGTTGAGACATCGTATGCAAATGAATTATTCTATCGGGGTAACGTAACACAATTTATTTCTCACGGTCACAAATTCACACTTTGTAATTGAAACTTTGTTGATCAGCAGACATGCAAAATTATTTTGAAGCTGCATTTGATCGAGGCGAATTCAGACGTATGCATAGGGAAAATTGAGACAATCTCACTTTCCCAATGACATGACACGGTCACTCCACTTCAAACCACAAGTATGAACTGCCATCAGAAAAGTGGAAACTTTCACTTCGGAAATAATAACACAGTTGTAACATTTTGGTTGGATATTCAAGTTTCGAATGATGTTATAACATTTTATTTTCATGTGTAAAAATTATACAAAACGTGAGATAACCACTCATCTCATCCGTTAACAGCATATGTATAGTTTTTTTACATATCTAACTATCATAATTTAGAACGATATTTTTTTTATAAATTTTGATAATCACATAGTTATGTTCTTATATTTTGAATTTAAGAAATTCAAATATAAAATTCAAAGTGTTATTCAAAAATTTCATAGATAGACTCCTTCATAAAACGTATATAAAACTTTATATAAATTTCATAATTTGTTTGATTTCATAATTTCATATTTTTTTCATTTCTAAATTTCAAAATTCCGAATATAGGGATACATATTTTAATTATAACCAACTTTAAGCTCCTCTTCCCACATCATCATGAACTTTTATTGTACAATAAATGTACTTTCTCCCGCGGCCTAGTGCCCCAACTAATCGTGTCAAACATCGATATGGAAGCCTCCCTTATTTTTACTTCGACTTTGCTTTTGTTGTTTCCCCTGATTCCGCTTCATTGAAAATCCTTTCGCCCCAGAAACTTCCTCATTTCCGTGAAGAAGCTGATCTTCCGCTTCGGAAAATTTTTTGGGCGGTTGTGCCGTCGTGGTGAAAGAAGTCTCCTCCGTGTGCGAGGAGTACCCAGAGCTGGACCGGACGCGCGGGATGACCTGCCCGCCGCCCCCACTGTTTGAGGATCCCGAGGTGGATTTGTTACTACTTTGGTGATGGTGGCGTTGGTGGGGGCGCCCCGCGCAGTAAGTGGCGCGACCTCTTTTGCTCGAGGTGCGACCCGTGGTGGGAGAAGATTCGTCATCCAGGGAGGAAGAGGAAGATTCCATTTCTTCCGAGGTGGGGATGTGGTCTGTGCAAGGGGGAGGAAGAAATTTGTAAGTTTAATCGTACATGGATTACTCACAAGGAGGTCTCCCAGCGTATGAATACCCCCAGATTTTGACCAAATTAGTGTCAATCGATCACAAATTTAACTATTGTGAAATTTGCGACAGACACGATATCCCAATCGGCACGTTTGGCAAAGATAATTGTATCCGAAGAAGAAAAAACGCGCAGTACATTTGGAAACTTATAGCTTTGTCGACTTTAGGGCGCTTTTCTCCTCTTCAGGTACAATTATCTCTGCCAAACGGGAGCATTTCGTACTTTTGCATTAAATTTGTGATCGATTGACTTATTTATACTATCGGTTGATAGGTTGTTTAAAATCTGTGAGCATACATTTAGAGAAATTTAGTAATTTTTAGTTGCAAGAATTTGTAAGCTAATTTTCCTCAGAAATATTAGCCGGACCACGTAAGAGCAGGACAGCGAGCAGACAAATGTGCAGTAGAAACCGCTTACCGTCCGTAAGAAATACATGGGAAGCCGATGGCGGTGGTGCACCACATGGTTCCCATGTCTTTCTTACGGACGGTAAGCGGTTTCTACTGCACATTTGTCTGCTCGCTGTCCTGGTCTTACGTGGTCCAGCTAATACTTGTAAAAGTTTGTAAGTTTATGGTTTACAATGCACTATGGGCCAGATTTAATAAATTGTGGCCAAAAATAATTATGAGCGGAATTTGAAGACACACAAATAGTTCTTCCGGCATAAAAAATAAACTAAAACATGGGCTATCTGATGAACTATTTCATGGCTACCTGACACACTCCCAGGGGGTGTGGCCATAAGCGACTTTTCATTAACAAGGTAAACCCAGGCATGCGACATAGCATTCTCCTTGGGAACTTCAGGGGATTCAGATGGAAATATAAAATTCGAAAACTAAACCCACCCCCAGGGGGTGTGGCCATAAACGACTTTTTTATCAAGGTAAACCCAGGCATGTGACATATCATTCTTCTTGGATATGTCAGAGGGGTCAGATGGAAATATAAAATTCGAAAATTATACCCCCCCCCCCAAGGGGGTGTGGCCATGAACGCCTTATGTAGTCCAAGTAAACCCAGGCATGCGATATATCATTCTTCTTGTCTACATCAGAGGATTAGGATGGCAAACACGAAATTCAAAAACCAATTATAAAAATTAAAAATTATACTTCAAATTTCAAATGAAATTTGAATTGCCACATAAGTACGGAAATTTTGAAGCATAATAAATTTCAAAATTAAGTAAAATGAGGGGGTGACTTGTACAAAGGAAGTCGTGGTTCAAAGCCTTTTTCTTCTTGTAACCTGATGACTGAATTTTCTATTTCAGAACAGCTACAATTTTAGTTTTTGTTGCTTTGAAATATCTGTTTTTTGTGAGCAAAGTTTCTTGTAATAAACTAATAAACACATAATCTAACTTCAATTTCGGAGGCTTGTAAAATTTGTGACGTTACATTTATCAACTCCACCCAATTTGGCCAATTAAGGTTATCATAATTTGTAATGATGATTATAATTTGAAAATTAGAGCTGCAGGACTTATCAATTTGGTTATCAATTTTAGTAAAATAATTTTAATGACAAGCAAATTACGTTGATCCAAATAGTCAGAGTGAGTTAATGAATTTCGTAGACGTGTTTTCAAAATTCTGGTACGATGATTTTTCAGTCGAACGTATCCTTCCATTAAATTCTTCACTTTGAATTAGACGCACCAGAATGTAATATTTAAATTAAGTTTATTCCATCTGATGGGCTACGCCCACTGGGGGTGCGGTCTTTAAATCCTCAGCTCCATACCGAAATCCCCCACCTCTAGAAGAGGAAATATATATAATTATATATCATCACATGGTCATGCAGAAATCGAAAAGCCTCTGACGACCTCCCCTCGCTGAGGAGTGTGGTCACTAAATTAGAAGAATTAAATCGATGGCCCCTCGTCGTTCTGAGAAAAATGATATATCACATGGCCTGGTTTCATTAAAATCCAAGAGTCGCTAATGACCACACCCACTGGAGGTGTGGTCTATCAATTTTATATATTCAGTCAAGATCCCCCGGCCGAGCTGAGAAAAATGATATGTCACAACCCATGTTTTGTAATGATTAGAAAAGGCGTTGAGGGCCATACCCACTGGGGGTGGGGCATGTGACCACTTGAATACTGCTCAGGGTGCCCGGGGGGTGGGTTTATTTTTTCGTTATGCATTTCCTCACTAGATGCTATAAATAAAGTAACAAAGAGTCCTGGCAAAGAAATTCCCGTTATATCACCTCGCGCTGCGAAGGAGGACCTAGTTCGAATTCTGCTTGACGGACGCAGCTTGTCGCAGCAGAATATATTCCCGACACTATTAGAAGTTGAACAGTACAAGTAGTGGCTCAGATGAGGGCGGATTGGGGCGGATTGGTGAGAAGATGTCCAAACCCTATGTCCGTAATGTATTATGAAAAGTTTGTCAATTTTTTTCTCTCAAATGACTTTAACGCTGGCCTTTATATTTTGCATGGATAACAAGTTGGTAATGGAGAACACAATGGCATACGTCTGTTACCAATTCTAGATAGTGCCTTAATGGCCACAATTTATGGATCCTGGCCCATTGTGCAATGTTACCAAGGCCTGCGCGAAGTGCATCAGTGTTCCAAACATTCACAAATATGAACAAACCTTTTTTGTGTTATACTTAAACGATTTTTTACCTTGTCTGTTTCGGCGTCTAAACGTGCCAACTTGTTGTTCTTGATATTGTTGATGTTGCAGAATGATTTGTCGTTGCTGTTGTGAAGTGTAGTCGTTGTGGTGGGAGGAGGAAGGGGAGAATTGGTTGTGGGGGTGGTGATATTTTGGCGAAATTTCGACATTATTTGCGAGGGTGGCGTCGTACTCGAGTGGGGGCATGTGCATGGCCAGGATTTTGGTCACTTCCGCGTCCTCCTCGTCACCAACAACTTTGCTTAAGCGACCAGATTTCATGTATTCGGCGTCCTGTGGAAAATTATAAATTTCTTAATGAGCTAAATTTTAAAGTTTAAATCAGAACTTTGTAAATAGGTATGAAATTCGTCGAATTTCTCAATTTTTGTCAACATCAACACATTTTTTAATTATTTTCCGCTCTGGGAATTTATTTCAAAATTCTGAACGACAAATTTGTTGTCAGTGAGTTGATTAATACCTAGAATGGTGTCGAGTTTTTTGGGCAAGTTTCGAATCGAAACTTTCGACGACTCTCAATTTTTTGGATGGCTC